TCTAAACGTCTGAATTTGTTGTGAGAAGTCCTCCTTATGCCAGTGACCTTAAAGGTCTTTTACAACCTAAATGATGATTCTGTGAATATGCCTCATATCTGGGGCCAGCTTTCAGGCTGCATCACTCCCTAGGGCAGGTTGAAATACTGGTGCTGTTGGCTGGATTCCTTCCGGCTTCAGGCTGGATCTTGTTGCCCCAGTCTCTGAGGCTCTTGCCACAGCACAAGTGATATGAGCTCCTCTGTCACAACCCTGCCCCTTCAGCCTCCCTTTGGCTGGCTCTTGCTGGTCTCCTTCTTCAGCGATACCCCTGTGTGGTGCCCAGAACCACCAGGTTGCAGAGTTGCTCGTGTTCCCCCTCCCTCTTCATCTCTCTTTCCACCCCCAGGCGAGCATCGCTGTGCCCAGCAAAAGGCAAGGCTCCAATGCTGCTGTGTCCTGTTGTGTGTGTGCCAGGGACATCTCTGTGCCTGATGCCAAGGAAAGTGTGGGCAGCAGGAGCTAAACCCCAGCCTGTACTGGACCAGGAGGTCACATTTGCAAACAGTCAGGCGTGAAAGAGTTCTCGCTGATTTAATGCGCAGGGACACTGTGAAGCTGAGTTGTTTTTATTTTGCTTTGAGGAAACAGCTTCAAGAAGGGAGGTTTAGATTGGGTATTGGGGAAGAAATTTCTTCACTGAAGCAGTTGTCCAGCCCTGGCACAGCTGCCCTGGGCAGTGTTGGAGACCCCATCCCTGGAGGGATTTAAAAGCCACGTGGATGTGGCACCTGGGGACATGGGTTAGTGGTGGCCTTGGCAGTGCTGGGGAAACTTGATGAGCTTTTCCAACCTAAAAAAATTCTGTGATTCTATTCTATGATTCTTCTTTGCATTGGAATGCAATAGAAATTCAGGAGAGCTCAACCTCAAGATAAGTAACTTAACCTTCGGAACCCCTTTGCAAATAAAACATCTTTAAATATTAGCTGTGTAGGAAATGTGGAGGAGCCAAGAGGTGTCCACGCTTCCTGCTGCGCTCTGTCTGGGCTTGGCCTGGAGGATGCTGGCTGGCAAATGCTGGGACTGTGCCAGAGCACGTATCCTCAGTAGGGCAGGACAGGTGTCTGCGCCAACACACCTGATTCTTTTCATTTTCCAGCACGGACATAACCTTTGGGGACCTAAGATGATCCTTCTGACCCAGATCTACGAAATAGTAAGACTGCCAACTCCTGTCTCTGTTTCAGTGCATGTGAAACTGATGACTGTGGTCTACCTGTTCCTTTGAGAATAAGTAGGGTGAGGGTCTTAACTCACTGGGATGTATTTGCTTTGACAGTTATGCTGTTTCCTCATCTCATCCCAAACCTGAAGTAAGCTAAAGCTCTGGTAGCAGGAAAGGCCTTATCACCTGAGGGCAGTTTTCTGTGGCAAGAAAAAAGAGAAGGCTTCAGGGAGGTGTTAATTTGTGCCTAACGATTCGCTTGCCATAGTGATGCTTGCGGTGCTTGCACTCTAAGGGAGAGGGAAATAATCAAGCACTAATCAAGCAATAATCTTTTCAGTGCACAGCACTGCTTCCTCATGGGTAGCATCTTTCTTAGCAGGTGAATTATTCCTCGCTGTGGCCAAATTCTGTGTCAATCCCTTTACACTGAATGTCAAGATTCAAGAGATTAGATAACAATCAACACGAGCATTCTTTACTCTGTTTATATTTCATGTGCAGCACGGTAAAACCAAACAAAACCCGCAGCAGTGCTGGAGGATCATCAGATAAAGGAGGTTTCATTGTTGCACGTCCCCAGATTCAAGCATCAAAAACGCTGGTGTGCAGCAGTCATACCTCAGGTTTGGTCCTGCTTCTGCAGCCCTTGGGTCTGGTACTCAGGTAGCTTGGGCTGCATGTTTCCTGTATGACTAAATATTGGCCTCCTGAGCCCAAACCAGATACTCGTTCGCTAGGGGAAGGGGAAATGAACGTCTCAGAATCACGGATGTATGCATTTATATGCCTGTATTTATGTATGTGTATGTGCATGTATTTATTTTAAGAACTGTAAACAAAGGGACATCTCTTTTGCTGTGTTATGCTGGCACTGGGAGGGAGGTAGTCCAGGAAAATACCCCAAAATTCCTGCCCAACATAAGTGTTTCTTACTGAGCCTGGTTAACACCTGCGTGTCAGAAAAAGAATGAAAAGAGAGTGCTTGGGAAAAAAACAGACAGGTGACTTGAATAGCATTTATTTGATGTAAACAACAACAAAAAAAGAACTGTTTCAATAACAACATAAATTAGTTCTGTTAGCAAAGACTGTGTTATGAATGATAATGGGAAGAAGCATGACTGACTGATATACATGTCAAATTACCAAATAGCTGCTTCTTTGTGAGGGGCGATGGGAAGAATAAACTCTTTAGATAGCAAAAAATGTAGAATTAATTCTGAATGACAGGCAAAATCTTTCTAATGGCTGAGACACGGACCTTCATCTTTCGTTGTTTTTCAGTTCTGTGCATATGATTTCTTTAAGGTACTGCCAAAATGTCCCCGTTGCTCAGCAACAGCAAGCTGGAACAGCACCAGACGGAGGAAATCTGCTGATTTACACTGGCCATAAAGTGCGTTCTCTTACCCAAGTGCAGATTTTGACATTAAAATGAAAGCAGCCTCTGTAGGTTTGGCTCCCTCTGGGGCACACATGGTCCTGAGTGGGGAGGTGTCAGTTCAAACGCTAAAATATCCTTTTGCCTTTCAGTTTGATAAACCGTAGAACCACTGGATGGTTTGGAATGGGCACCTGAAGGCCATTAGTCCAGTACCCCAGGGACATCTTGAAGTAAACCAGGTTGCTCAGAGTCCTGTCCAGCCTGATCTTGGATGTCTCCAGGGATGGAACATCCACCACATCTCTGTGCAACCTGTGCCAGTGCCTCACCACACTCATTATAAAACATTTCATCCTTATATTTGGTCTGAATCGACCTTCTTTTAGTTTAAAACAGTCACCCCTTGTCCTGTTGCCAGGGGCCCTGATAAAATGTTTGTCCCCATCTCTGTTAAGGGGACCTTTAAGTGCTGAAAGGTCTCCCTGGAGCCTTCTCTTTTCCAGGTGAACCCCCACAGCTCTCCCAGCCTGGCTCCAGAGCAGAGGGGCTCCAACCCTTGGGGCATTTCTGTGGCCTCCTCTGGACCTGCTCAAAGCTTACTCCAGACAGAACACGACCTCATCCAACCCCAGTGTGGGATCCTGTGCAGCATCTCCCCTAGGAATGAGTCACTGCCTGGTCTATAGGAGGTTTTTGCAGCTCTGCTGGCCCAGCACTTGCTGTGCCTTTGGCTGACTGTGCCTCCTGTACAGAGTTTGCCTCTTACATGTGAGAAGGTATTGATGCAGCAAAATGCCAAAAGGCTGAGAGAGCTGGGGCTGTTCATCCTGGGGAACAGTAGGCTCCAGGGAGACATTAGAGTTCTTTCCAGTGCCTAAAGGAGCTCCAGGAGGGCTGGAGAGGGACTTGGGACAAGAGATAGATTAGGATGAGGGGGGATGGCTTCACAGAGACAAAGGGCACGATTAGATGGGATATTGGGAAGGAATTGTTGACTGTGAGTGTGGTGAGGCCCTGGCACAGGTTTCCCAGAGAAGCTGTGGCTGCCCCACCCCTGCAAGTGTCCAAGGCCAGGTTGACAGAGCAACCTGGTCTAGTAGAAGTTGTCCCTGTCCATGGCAGTGAGATAGAATGAGATGGTCTTTAATGTCCCTTCCAACTCAAACCTGTCTATGATTCTAGGATTCTGTGATAAGCACAAAGAGCAGAAGTTGAGTTTCCTAAATATCCCACATACACTGATTTAAAAACTGTGTTTTCCAATGTCTTCCTCACTATTTATTTAAAAGGTAGCATGTCCTTGGAAAGCTTAGTGATGATAAATAGAGAAAAACTTATAACAAACTCAAAAAAAAAAAAGATGAATATTTGTTTTAAAAATTAACTCCATACAATATTATGTAGGTATTTATTAAGTAAAACACTGTAAATTGTACATTTTTACAAATGATCTCTGGAGTGGCAGTCACACAGAAATACTGCTGAACATCTGAAAATCTGAAACTTCATCAGACTATACTGCCAGCAAGCAATTCATCCCAAATATTTTACACTCAGATCCTTGTGATACTTGAAAAACAACATAGGGTTTTTTTTTTTTGTCCACCCCTTGTTTCCGCCCCCCGCCCCATCCTCCTCAAAAATCATCAGCGCTATTCCCAGGTTGGATTTTATTTCATCTGCTACAAGAAGAGCAGGGTTTGATTTGCTTTTCCTAGAGCAACATTACTGCATGAAGGGTGATGCCAACTGCAGGACCTGAGGATATGGAGCATTTTTGGTGAAGGTATTGGCTTCACCATGAGATGGAGTATCTCTGTGAGCCAGAAAGGTGGTTGAATTAATGTCCACTGAGGTGACCATTGCTGGTGGGTGCAAGGTCAGCTTCTCCCCTTCTCCCCCTGCAAACCCCGAGAGCCTGCGCAGAGGTGGGATGTGGCTGGTCTGACGCAGAGCTCTGCTGCTCTGGTCCCCCAACCACCCCCTTCCTACTGCAGGACAGACAGAAATGGCAGAGCAGCAGCTTCATGGAATCTTCTATGAGTTGGAAACGACCTCTAAGACCAACCACTCCCACCACTACCCCCCCAGCACTGCCAAGCCCACCACTCACCCATGTCCCCACATGACACATCTACGGGGCTTTTAAATCCCTTCAGGGATGGGGACGCCAACGCTGCCCCGGGCAGCTGTTACAGGGATGGATATTGGGACAGCCTGTTCAGTGAAGAAATTCTTTCCCAATATCCAGCTTAAATCTCCCTGGTGCTACGAGAAGCTGTTTCCTCTCATCATGTCCCTTCTTCCCTGGGAGCAGAGCCCGGGTCCCCCCTGCCTCCACCCTCCTGTCGGGGAGTTGCAGAGAGCCAGAAGGTTCCCCTCGAGCATTAGCAGGAGGCTGGGACAGAACAACATTTTGCTGTGTTTGGTATTGGTGGTCTGAGTGGGTTAGTGCAGATAGAGAGGTCAAGGAGATCAGCTCTAATTGGTTCTACTTGTGCATAGACTGAACAGAGCCACTTTATTGCACAGGAAAGGGACAGCAGTGACTATTTTTTTGCTGTCCCCTCCTGTGTTAACCCATCACCAAGTTCAAGTATTAAAAAAAAAAAAAAAATCATGAGATTAACACAGAAATCACGAAAATCATCCCCATCTTATGCTTGATGGCTGCTAATTCACATCTCTCTCCACAGGGCTCGAGAGGTCCTCCAGGTAGAATTCTTCACCACCTGTTTCATACTTGGCAAAGGGTACTCTTTATTGCACTTCTCTGCTACTATGAAGCTATCTAAGATGTATCCTATTGCTGTCATTAGCTGGTTTTAGCCATTTATTAGGAGTCCCCTCAGATGCTGAAAGATGCTCTTCATTGCCTTACATCTGATTGCTGTGCCTTCACTTTCACAAAGAGATTTTTCTTTACAACTTCTAAGTGATTTCCCCATTGCTTTATTATTCAAGTGTTTTTTTCAGACATATGTGCTTTAAAATCATTACAGGCTGGTCTTGGAGTAGGTCCTTCCAACACAGTTTCTATATCTAATAGAAATTCCATTCCAAATAGAACAAACAAGATGTGGTGGAGAAAGTCTGACCATTCAGAAGGTGGTGTTTGACTTTGCAGCACACAAATCACAGTCTATTGAGGAAGCACCTTGTGGTGTCGCCTTAAAATCTGCCAAGTATCTCTCTTCTTGGATCTTCATGCCTCGCAGGAAGACCTTTGATGTTTCCTCATCTTCAGATAATAAGCTCTGTTGGCTTCTGGGTAGGTGACTTTGGAGAGTGGCAGCTTGTAGATGGCAGAGTTGGTCGTGGTTATTAGCAGGAAAGTCAGTGCAGACAAGCAGAAAGACCAGGTTCCTGATGGCACCCCAAACTGCAATGAAAAACAGCAAACAACCTATTCACTGTGTGCCTTTCTTTTATTTGAATAAAACCCAGAGCCAGGCACTTTGGAATAAGGGTTCTCAAGGAAGTCTCCACCTGGTTTTGCATTGAGCCTTTCCTTAGGGAGGAAGGATTTCTTCATGAGATCTTGACCCTGTGCATAAGCCTGCAGTATCTACCAGCTCTGGTGAGAGGGCTGCCCTCTCTTTGTGCATCTACCGTGGTCTTGGATGGACATGAGGCAGGAGTGGGTGGAGATGAAGCAGGAATGGACACCAGAAGCATTCAGCTTTTCCTGGGCTGTTACACTGATTGTCTTTTGGCAATTGAGGAAGGTAATTAAACCAAATTTAGTGTTTCTTTATATTTGTGGAGCGCCCTTTCTCAATTATTTCAGGCACAAAATGTAGAAATGTAAATATTTGAAAGAGAGGAGACCTCATAGCAGCCTAACAGTGCCTTCAGGGGCTCCAAGAGAGCTGGAGAGGGCCTGCAGTGACAGGACAAGGGGGAATGGCTGCACAGGGACAGAGGGCAGGGTTAGATGGGGCAATGGGAAGGAATTCTTCCCTGTGAGAGCTGAGAGTGGGGAGGCCCTGGCACAGGTTGCCCAGAGAAAATGTGACTGCTCCATCCCTGGAAGTGTTCAAGGCCAGATTGGACGGGGCTTGGAGCAACCTGGAATAGTGAAAGGTGTCCCTGCCCATGGCAGGCGGGGGGAATGAGATGAGCTTTAATGTGCCTTTCAACCCAAACCATTCTGGGATTCTCTGGCCTCATAAGGGTTGAGAACTGAGCTGTGGAAGTTCATTCAAACTCTGAGGAAGAAAACTGCTAAGTGATGATTCTAAGTGACCTATTCCAGTGGGAATCACACCATCCCCCTGGGCAGATAATAACCCCTCTTTGGGACCACTTCTGCCTTTGACTGAGATCCTCTCCACATCTTGGGGTTTTGCCTGACAAGTCAGGTTAAAATACAGTGCTCAGAGCTGTTGTTGGAAACCAGACCATAGCTGACTCACTACTTACCACAGACAACATGCTGGACACTGCTGCTCCCAGGTAGGCACTGAAGAGTGCTGTGAAAAAGAGAGATAGTTCCTGGTGAGTTCAGCTGCTCATGGAGTAGAACAGCAAGGGCAAACACCTCTCACCCTGCCTGGGGTAGCTCAACCAGTGATCATGACCCTGCCTCAACAGTACCCTCTTAAAGCTCTTTCTTTAGCATTGTGTCCTCTCCAACCTGGAGCCTATGGAAAGGGCAAAACTAACTAACTAACTAACTAACTGGAGTAATGAAAAATGTGCTATGGAATCAGAGGCTTTTGAAAAATGCACTCACAGGGAAAGTATGCAGCTTGATGGATGGGGTTAAATAGGAAACTAACCCTTCCACCCTCATCTCTCCTGCCTCTAGGGCTTGAAGGTGGGTCAATGAGATACAGAGCTAAATCTTTTTTATATGAGCACTGAACGAGCAGTAGTTTCATTCCCAGCTTACTCTGATATTGAAATTTCATATGGAATTGCCTTATAAATAATTCTTCAATCGTGCTGTGTTACCTAGCTCATGCCTTTGGTATCCATTTCAATAGAATGGGGAATGTGTACTATCTGACTACAGCTGTGGACTGATCTTGAGCTCCACTTTTCTCAAAGTTTAGGTATGTCCTCCTTCAAAGAAGGAATCTGAGCTGGTATCTCTGACTGGAAAACCCACTACGATTCATCCAGCAACGGAAGTGGAAACACAATTAATGTTTCGAAATGGATGACCTAATTTCAAAAACCTGAGTTAATCAGTGTCCACTGATCACATCCCTTGGTTTTTAAAGGCAGCTCTTGGCTGAAAATAAAAGAACAGCTTTTGTTCTGTCAGGGCACGTTTAAAGCCACAGCTCCAACACCCCGGCTCCATCATTTGCCGGCCTCACCTACGCCCATCTGCCCGCCCGGGGGTGCCCTTCTGGCTCCATCCACCTCTACTGCAAAAAGGCTCTCGAATCACTTCAAAAGGGGGAGAGGTTGAGGTGAGAACCCATCAGGTACTTACCGCAGGCAATAGCCAGCAGATGTGTCTGCCAGGTGAGGGCGTAGAACATGCCCCCGACGGCAACGCAGGAGAGGGAGCTGTTGTAGCCCCACAGCCCGGAGTAGATCTGGCTAAACGGCGTTGCCAAGCTCAGCCCTGCCAAAATAAGTCAAAAGGTGGTGTCACTCCTTGGCCAAAGAGGTGAAAGCAGCGGAGGAATGGCAGGAATCCAGCTTCCCAAGGGTTCTAGCCAGCCGTATGTGCGTGGAGTTCCCATTTGTAGCTGTGTTGTTCGGGTCCAAGGCCAAAGCCGCTTTAATCTGATGAAGCCATGGCAGAGCTTCCCTGAGCTGAATTTGGTGATGTGATTTCAGCAGCAGAGGTATGAGCCCATGTGTGAACCTTAAATGCATCCCTGGGGCCCACACATCCACACTGATGGCTATGACTTTTTTTTAGTCTGCTCCTAAACCCACCAGAATGCGCCCAGAAATTAAGTATTTAATGGGAAAAATTAATCTCAGGCCAAAATATGCTTCTGAAGGTTTCCACCATCATAAGACAAGGCAAGAGAATGGGGAAGTCAATCAAAAGAGTTCCTAAAAGAGAAGTCTATGTATGGTTTGTTTTTTCAAGCAGTTCTCCAATGAAAGAAAAACTTGTAAGTATTCTATTTACTGCAGTTCCTCTTTTGTTCTCCAAGCAAATAAATAAATCCGTGACACAATTCAAATCTCCTTACCTGCCAGCATCCCCACTGCTGAGCCGATCACTGCATGCAGGAAAATG